GAGTTTTAGAGGGTGTTTGTCTAAGCTTATAAGCTGGTCAAACTTGCTTAAAACTTTAAAATTAAGCTGACTAGTTGTTATAATTTTTTTGAGCTTATAAGTTAAGCTTATAAGCCAAAAAAAATAGTTGGGGGGGGGAGTACCTTTTTTTTTTTTGTTTATAAGCACTTTGTTATAAGCTAGTTTGACCAAATATTTACCACATATCCTTGTTAATTTTAAAATTCTATAGTATGCTCTGTGTTGTAGTACCTTTTTTAGTATTTTATAATAAAAATACTTATAAACCACATTTTACCAAACACGTCAATTACTTATCAGTCCTTATAAGTACTTTACCAACAAGTATTGCTTAAATTTCATGCTTTAGTTATTTTGCTTTAGCATTGTTGCTTATAAGTTAATTTCATAGCTCAGACCAACCCCTTAGGGTATGTTTTGAAATATCGTGATACCCGTTATTTTTGGGGTGGATCAGGTGAGGTACCTGCACAAAATTCACCACAACGCAACCCACCACTCGTCTAATATAATTTAGCCGCACCGCACGAGCGACGAGGAGAAGCCTGGCCCCACAGACACACACGCTCCCCGTCAGCAGACTCAACCACGAAAGGCACCGCAACAAGCTCAAATTCACAAATTTTGGATATAAAAACAAAAATTCATAATCACCGATAGACATGACACATCATGAATCTAAACCCAACCTTTACCAAAACCGTAGAGCCACTGTAGCCAAAATCCAATCCAATTACATTATGCTTTTCTCATTAAAACAGGCATAGGAGATACCTGCCAGACGGCGGTGGCTGCTTATCTTTCTCCTCTTTGGTTTCTCAATTCCCGTTCAACGAAGCCCAGGTTTGTCTGTCTTGTTACATGTGTGCGTATCAGTCTAATGTACAATTTAGGACAGCTGCATGCTTCACTCAAACTCAGCATAATCTGCGAGTTTTTCAAATGGGGAAAAAGGTAGTATGTTTTTTTGCTAAATTTCAACAATGTATTTGAACACTCTATAAATCAAGAGAAAAAGTTATATGTGTTTTAGTCTTTATAAGGCAACCATATATGTTTGTTTGGATTTGGTTTGGAGTTAATATTGGTAACGGTGATTGTGGGTCCATCGTACCTGCATGACCAGGTACGGGTGGTGTATCCTTTTACTCGTTCACATTTTTACCTCAAGCTTGGTATCCATTTGACCCGTACTTTCATTACCCGGCCGTACCCACTCGGGTGCCTTTTGCTTGGTCTACCCATGGGTGCATTTGGTACGTTGCACTAGAAAACTGAATATTTTGTGTTGAGTTGGAGTGGATTAAATTAATATTGTCCCTTGGTACAAAACGGACTAAATATGTAAGCAATTATTTAAAAAAATCTAATTATATAAAAATTAAATTAGTGAAATATTTAAGAATCTAAATTATAATAATAAACCTTTAATAACAATTTTGAATAGTAATTTTTTTTTTTTTACATAATTATAGTTTAATATAATAATAAAAAACTATTAATTAATTTAAACAGTTAATTAATAATTTTGTTTAACAAAATTGTTTTTATATATAAAAAAAAAAAGTAAATAAATAAGAAGCTCAGTAAACCCAGGGTGGGGCGCTGGTTCTTTTTCTTCATTAGTAGTGATTAGGAACCCAACCCGATTACCTGGCTAAGGGGTGGGTTCGTTGATCGGTTAAACTGACGATTTAACCGTGATAATATTTTAAAATCTAACAACCACACCTCTGATAATACCATCAATCCCTAAGGTTTGAATTCTATCAAACACACCCTTCGATAGTTAGGTTATTGATTTTTTACCAAATTCTGACGTAAAAAATTCATCTGACACCACCATTTTAACACCACCTCGACTCTATAAAACCCCTAATCTTGACACTTGGTAGTCCACGTTTATCGTCGCGATTGGGTTGATTTTTAGCCAAATTCGATTGATTCGACGTAAAAAATACAATTAAACACACCTCTTGAACCACAATCTCCACTCTACAAAACTTCTAACCTGACAATCAAATTAGGGATTGTAGGAGTAGTTAAAAGCGGTAACCGAGTTGGAGAAGGCCCTGTTCTATCACAATCATTTAAACCGGTCATCTGGGCGGGGTTCTATCACTGCAATTATGCCGCCAAAATTGCATCAGTTTGCCAAAGTTGTAGCAAAACATGTGAATAAATAAAAAGAATTGTAGCGCTACTGTTTGTGAGCTTAGTGTATCATGGCAGAAAAACCTGATGGGGTTGGTACCAAAACCCGACATATTGGATGGGAAATATTTGAAAAAGTAAAAAATAAGTTTTGGGGCGGGAGGAAGCGTTGTAAAATCTGGTTTCGTCCTCGTCCTCGTTAAAAAATTATAATACATTAATATATGTTAGGGCCAAAAATTGTCCTTGGCCCAAATAGGAAACGGGCTCGATACTGAAGAAGAAACCAGGCCCAATCCTGATAGACCCAACCAGATGGCCCATTCGGTACAAGATATAGCCAGCCCAAACCACGTGGGCACGAGCCTCCTAATCCCAGTCCATTTCCTAGGTCAATGGGCAAATCTAGGCCCACAACCCCCTCAGAATACTTCCTACTGATCAATCTCCATTCAAGGTCGCCTTCCTATTCCTGATCACTTTCCTACTCGGAGTTACTTTCTAATCAGAATCACCTTCCTATCCGGACACTGGTAAGACAGCTTACCACAGCCCTAATTCTTCTAGGGTTTGCATCAGAGTCATACTAGGACTCCCTACTTCTACCAAGATTGGGAGACCAGACGACCACTATATAAACAGAGGCCAGCCCTCTCACAAGGGACAGGGGACATTACACCTTCACACTGAAAGCTCTGACTTGAGAGCTCCCCATCACCACCATAGTCACAGTCCCGCTAAACTTCGGTAACTTCTACTCCCTAGCCCTCACTATATAGTATCTCTCAGCCTTGCTGACTGAGCGTCGGAGTGCCTACGGCAAACACCACCCGGTGCTTCCCGTTCGCTTCACGGGTGTTTCTCTACGTGTGCAGGTACAGCGGATCGCTAGTGGCCTAACCTCACGGGATCAGACCCCCCTTCCGTACAGATAGATTTTTACGTCTACAATATACATAATTAAATTTATTAAAAAATTATAAAAAGAAATCCGGAGATTTACAAGGGGACGGGTTTTTCATTCCCTTCGGGAATACGCGCCCCGATCCCAGCTCTAGAAAATCTGAGGTTGAGACAGGTGATGGAGAGAGCAATATCTTGACAAAGATGGGGAATGTACCAGAAATTGCCACCCTACTTGATCTATAGTGCGACCAAACAGAGCTAATTGTGGGAGAAATCGTTTTATATGAGAAAAATACTTAGATCAATCCTTTGTCTAACTCTTTGTTTTCGTCCACTAAATCCTATTCTTTCAAATAATAGGAAATACTCTTTATTTTAACATTAAAAAAAAAAAAAAAAAAAAAGGTCACTGATTCTTACTTTTTGAAAAGACAATAGCCCTGAATTATTAGCCTAGATAATAGGAAGAAAAAAAAAGATTTTTCTTGTCTTCCCTTTACACAACAATCATCTTCTTCCTCCGAGCACTGCCACCAAATTATAATACGAATTTTCCAACAGTCCACAATCAATCAACGATTTCGATCTCAAAGCCCAAATGCCCAAAAACGGATTTTGTTTGTTTTCAAACCTTTGATACACATCAAAGAAGAAAAAAAAAAAAATCCATGCCAAATGCCATTTTGCACCTTCAAATTTTCACCATAACCATCTACACATCTTCGTTAGAACCACCTGCACTAGTGTTTTTTTCTTTTATTGGTATCTAGAAGTATTTGAGCCAGTTTGTATGCATCTCGATTATTCTTCTGAGACCTTGAAGTTAACAGTCAGGTAAACATCTAGTAGCTATTCTTTATTAATAGTTATGAACTCATGACCTCTTAAGTAATACGCTTAAGAGTCTCAAGCGAACCGTCGAATTATCTAGAGATAGTTACACTAGTACTTTTATCAGTCCATAAACCCAGCCATATTACATACAATATACACCAAATCGAAATTCACACCCAATGGCAGATTAACTTATGCCTCATATTAGGGGCAAAAAAAAAAAAAAAAAATCACAGCTATCACCCACTGCCATAGCCAATTCAGATTCAAAGCAAACAAACCATGGCAAAATTTCACACAAAATCATTATTAAAAAATTCAGCTAAACCCTTAGGGATGAAATTGTTATTTTCCCGGAGTCTAGTCCAAGTGTTTAAAACTTCTGGATCTTATTAGACCTAAACCTTTGGAGTAAATAATAACTCGAACACATCCCACAAAACTTTCCAAATTTCAAATCAAAGTTTTTAATTTCATCCCCTCAAATTTCATATTTTCTTTGACCTTCCACGTTTATTTTATTGAACGTAACAATTTGGCTCTTCCAAAGTTAAAAAAATTATTTTCTATAATACGATCCTATTCATTCGTTTGACTTTATCTCTGGCCCCCCTGAACGATATTTCAAAAACTACAAATATATACTAAGAAAACGAGTAAATGACTTTTTCCCACCAAAATAATAGTTTAATGACACTTTTTCACCTATAGATTTTTAAAATACTAATTTATTATTCAAATTTATATTCTGTTTCTGATTCTGGTATTGTTACGACGTCACACCACCACTATTCTCTTCCCTGATCATTACTCACAAAAACTCTTCAAACCCTACTCCTGTCGACCCTACCAATCGTCGGCAATTGAGCGATTAGGGTTTGAGTAACCGCCCCTCCCAAGCCAAATTCCTATCAATGCCAACAACTAAAATTCAACATTCCACCAGCAAAAGGACATCTTGGACCGAGTTTGCTCTTTATTTGCTATAGGAATATAAATTTAGATAATAAAGTAGTATTTTAAAAGTTTATGGGTACAAAAGTGTCATTAAGACATTATTTGAGTGGGAAAAAGTGGTCGACTCTAAAAAAACTGATGATGATCGTATATTTATATGATTCCCACAAACACCACCAACTTCAAGAAGCAAATTAAACTTTCATTATTTTAGAATCAAATGCATAAACACACATAGTTTATTCTCAATAATATGCTTTGAAGCTGCTAATTAGATGCCAGTATAAGAGTTGAGCTCATTGCAATCCAGAGTGTTGTTGACATGCACAACCAGTGGACTCCTAACATAATGGAACCCATCTGACCAAACTATCTCTCCAAAATCATATCTCCCTTCTGACTTCTTCACTGCTCTCACCGTCACATAATATGACACTTCTTCCCTCAACACTGTGAATATCAATGTTCTTGGCCACACCATTACCTCCACTCCATCAGGCTTCACAATGCTAGCAAAGTATATCGCATTCCTGTTTCGACCGACGTTTCGCACCGTCCTTTTGACAGTCGTTGTCGACCGAAGATTCGAAACTGTGATCGATGGATAGTTTATGTTTGCAGTCTTGGCTTTGTTTCGCTTTGAGCTGCATCTTGTGTCCATTCCAGGAGTGGGAAGAACTATTTTCTTGATTTTGTCTTGGCTGTATCCAATGTTGCATAGAAAGGAAATGTAATCGTTTGGTTTTATGTCGTAAACTAGCCCCGGATCCATCGCTCTTAGGGGGTTCAAATGGCCTGCTCCTACGTCAAAGGGATTAGACTCTTGCATTGATCCACCATCAAGGATTGTGTCGAGTGTCGAGTCCCTAGTACAAGCTGAATATCACGAATAAAAAAAATATATATTTATAATCTTAACGCATATCCTTAAGACATTTGTTAATATAATCTGCTAACTGGTTGTTTAATTACAACCTGTGGTCATAAGAGCGGATCTAATAACTGCAGGTGACCAATTGGGGTGCGCAGATTTGATTAGGGCAACTACTCCAGATACATGGGGGCATGACATTGATGTTCCTGATTGAAAATTCCACTTCACGGAGCGACGATCTTCCGGTAACAGAGTTGGAGGAGTTTTGGGAGGCCATGCTGCTAATATACCAATTCCAGGAGCAGTAATGTCTGGCTGTAAATTATACATAAGAAGCTAGAATTAACTACTATTCATTTTCTCTTAAGTTTTAGCTAGTGATGAAATAGATCTCAAATCATTTAAAGCACAAAGCAAATATTGAGCGCAGTAATGTCTGGCTGTTAACAATATATGGGGGACAAAATGACAAATTGAGGTTTTGTAGTGATCATTCAAGAAATGCAATTTTTTCTGAGTTTTTTTTTTTTTTTTTGCAAATTGACAAAATACATATGCAATTATTAAAGCACAAAGGCAATTAAACCTATTATGAAAAGAGAAAAGGATACATCATGATTAGCTAGGAACGTATAATTATAGTTTAATATAATAATTAAAAACTATTTAATTTTAAACAGTTAATTAATAATTTTGTTTAACGAAAATTGTTTTTAAAAAAAAAAAAAAGTAATTAAATAAGAAGCTCAGTAAACCCAGGGTGGGGCGCTGGTTCTTTCTTTAATTAGTTAGTGATTAGGAACCCAACCCAGATTCACTGGCTAAGGGGGCTGGGTTTCGCTTGATCGGTTAAACTGACGATTAACCCGTGATAAATATTTAAAATCTAACAACCACCCTCTGATAAATACCATCAACCCTAAGGTTTGAATTCTCAAACACACCCGCGATAGTTAGGTTATTGATTTTTTCAACCAAATTCTGACGTAAAAAATTCATCCGACACCACCATTTTAACACAAACCCCACTCTATAAAACCCCTCTAATTGACACTGGTAGTCCCTGTTATCGTCGCGATTGGGTTGATTTTCTAGCCAAATTCGATTGATTCGACGTAAAAAATACAATTAAAAACCACCTCTTGAACACCAATCTCACTCAAAAACTCTCTAACCCGACAATCAAATTAGGGATTGTAGGAGTAGTTAAAAGCGGTAACCGAGTTGGAGAGGCCTGTCTATCAAATCATTAAACCGGTCATTGGGCGGGGTTCCTAATCACTGCAATTGCCGCCAAAATTGCATCCAGTTGCCCAAATTGTAGCAAAACATGTGAATAAAATAAAAAGATATTGTAGCGCTACTGTTTGTGAGCTTAGTGTTAATCATGGCAGAAAAACCTGATGGGGTTGGATACCAAAACCCGACATTATTGGATGGGAAAATTTGAAAAAGTAAAAATAAGTTTTGGGGCGAGGGTGGATGAGCGTTGTAAAATCTGGTTTCGCCTCGTCCTCGTTAAAAAATTAATACATTAATATATGTTAGGGCCAAAAATGTCCTTGGCCCAATAGGAAAACGGGCTCGATACTGAAGAAGAAGCCAGGCCCAATCCTGATAGACCCAACCAGATTAGGCCCATTCGGTACAAGATATAGCCAGCCCAAACCACGTGGGACCGGCCTCCTAATCCCAGTCCATTTCCTAGGTCAATGGGCAAATCTAGAGCCCACAACCCCCTCAGAATACTTCCTACTCCTGATCAATCTCCCATTCAAGGTCGTTCCTATCCTGATCACTTTCCTACTCGGAGTTACTCTCCTAATCAGAATCACCTTCCTATCGGACACTGGTAAGACAGCTTACCACAGCCCTAATTCTTTAGGGTTTGCATCAGAGTCACTAGGACTCCCTACTTCTACCAAGATTGGGAGACCAGACGACCACTATATAAACAGAGGGCAGCCCTCTCACAAGGGACAGGGACATTACACCTTCACACTGAAAGCTCTGACTGAGAGCTCCCCATCAACACCATAGTCACAGTCCCTGACAAACTTCCGGTAACTTTACTCCCTAGCCCTCACTATATTAGCCTCTCTCAGCCTTGTGACTTGGACGTCGGAGTGCTACGGCAAACACCACCCCGGTGCTTCCCGTTCGCTCACGCGTGGGTTCTCTACGGTGGCAGGTACAGCGGATCGCTAGTGGCCTTAACTCACGGGACAGACCCCCCTTCCGTACAGATAGATTTTTACGTTACAATATACATAATTAATATTTTATTAAAAAATATAAAAAGAAATCGGAGATTTACAAGGGGACGGGTTTTCATTCCTTCGGGAATACGCGCCCGATCCCAGCTCTAGAAAATCTGAGGTTGAGACAGGTGATGGAGAGAGCAATATCTTGACAAAGATGGGGAATGTACCAGAAATGCCAACCCTACTGATCTATAGTGCGACCAAACAGAGCTAATTGTGGGCCGAAATCGTTTTATATGAGAAAAATACTTAGATCAATCCTTTGTCTAACTCTTTGTTTTCGTCCACTAAATCCTATCTTTCAAATAATAGGAAATACTCTTTATTTTAACATTAAAAAAAAAAAAAAAAAAAAGGTCACTGATTCTTACTTTTGTGAAAAGACAAATATGCCCTGAATTATTAGCCCAGATAATAGGAAGAAAAAAAAAGATTTTCTTGTCTTCCCTTTATCACAACAATCATCTTTTCTCCTGAGCACTGCCACCAAATTATAATACGAATTTTTCCAACAGTCCCACAATCAATCAACGATTTCGATCTCAAAGCTCAAATGCCCAAAAAACGGATTATGTTTGTTTTCAAACCTTTGATACACATCAAAGAAGAAAAAAAAAAAATCCATGCACAATGCCATTTTGCACCTTCAAATTCACATAAATCCTTACACATCTTCGTTAGAACCACCTGCACTAGTGTTTTTTTCTTTATTGGTATCGAAGTATTGAGCCAGTTTGTATGCATCTCGATTATCATAATATTTTATTACTTGACAATCAAACATGGTAATGTAATGTAAGATGATATACTAGAGTAATGGAGGATAACCTTCGGCCAAACACACCCTTAATATGACTCTAAGACATCTAATTAATGTGAAAATCTATGGTATTAAGTATTGGTCGTTTGTATTTATCATAAAACTTAATCATTATAGTTGTTACTATGATAACGTGACATGAATATGTTTTAAGATGTTTACACTACAAAAAAAAAAAAAATAAATCAATACTTATAATTAAACTTTGAAAGTTTAAAAACAAACATATCAATCAAATTTGTATATTCAGAAGTATTCATATAACAAATGGATTCAGCTTTCAGATAAAAAAAATGTTACCTTAGTACGTTATTATAAATATAAAGTTATAAAATGTAATAAAATAGTAAAAATATTTAAGAACGTGAAAAAGAAAATATCTCCTATAATGAATGAGTTAATAGGTCAATTAACATTAGAGTTTTAGAGGGTGTTTGTCTAAGCTTATAAGCTGGTCAAACTTGCTTATAAACTTTAAAATTAAGCTGACTAGTTTGTTTATAATTTTTTTGAGCTTATAAGTTAAGCTTATAAGCCAAAAAAAATAAGTTGGGGGGGAGGTACCTTTTTTTTTTTTTGTTTATAAGCACTTTGCTTATAAGCTAGTTTGACCAAATATATTACCACATTATCCTTGTATAATTTTAAAATTCTATAGTATGCTCTTGTTTAATGTAGTACCTTTTTTAGTAATTTTATAATAAAATATACTTATAAACCACATTTTACCAAACACGTCAATTACTTATCAGTCACTTATAAGTACTTTAACCAAACACGTAATTGCTTAAAATTTCAAATGCTTATAAGTTAATTTTAGCTTATAAGCAATTGTTGCTTATAAGTTAATTTTCATAAGCTCAGACAAACACCCCCTTAAAGGGTATGATTAAAATTTGAAAATATCAAGTGATACCCGTTATTTTTGTGGGTGGATCAGGTGAGGTACCTGCACAAAATTAAAAAAAAAAAAATGATAATAATAATTTAGAAAAAAAAATCCACCATCATCAGCTAAACCCTTGATTCCCAACAACCAGTTCACTTAAGCTATAATTAAGAGAACCCAGATTTTCACAGTGACGAGATTCTGAATTTCGAGCGCTGAAGTCTTCTTAGACACATTCACATGACCACCTCTATCGGTAGAGCTACTCAAGCCACTGAAATTTTGGCTTCTCTTAAATCAGAAACAAAATTTTGGATAATAAAAACAAAATTCATAATCACCGATAGACATGACACATCATGAATCTAAACCCAACCCTTTATCCAAAACCGTAGAGCCACTGTAGCCAAAATCCAATCCAATTACATATATGCTTTTCTCATTAAAACAAGGCATAGGAGATTACCTGCCAGACGGCGGTGGCTGCTTTATCTTTCTCCTCTTTGGTTTCTCAATTCCCGTTCAACAGAAGCCCAGGGTTTGTCTGTCTGTTTGTTAACATGTGTGCGTATCAGTCTAAATATAAAGAGTACGAATTTGATCACGTGCATTTTGCTTCAGCAATAAACTCAAAACCGCATAATCTGCGAGTTTTTCAAATGGGGAAAAAGGTAGTATGTTTTTTTGTTTGCACATATTTCAACTAATATTTGAAGTTTATTGAACACTCTATAAACTCAAGAGAAAAAGTTAGTATGTTGTTTTAGTCTTCTATAAGGCAATCATATATGTTTGTTTGGATTTGGATTTGGATGTAATATTAGGTAATCGGTGATCTGTGGGTCCATCCATACCCGCATGACCAGGTATGGGTGGTGTATTCCTTTACTCGTTCACATTTTTGACCTGCAAGCTTGGTATCCATTTGACCCGTACCTATCATTACCCGGCTCGTACCCACTCGACGTGCCTGTTTGCTTGGTCTACCCATGGGTGCATTTGGTACGTTGCACTAGACTAAACTGAATATTTTGTGTTGAGTTGGAGTGGATTAAATTTAATATTGTCCCTTGGTACAATAACGGACTAAATATGTAAGCAATTATTTAAATAAAATCTAATTATATAAAAATTAAATTAGTGAAATATTTAAGAAATCTAAATTAATAATAATAAACCTTTTAAATAACAATTTTGAATACGTAATTTTTTTTTTTTTACATAATTATAGTTTAATATAATAATATAAAAACTATTAATTAATTTAAACAGTTAATTAATAATTTGTTTAACGAAAAATTGTTATTATAATAAAAAAAAAAAAGGTAAATTAAATAAGAAGCCGAGTAAACCCAGGGTGGGGCGCTGGATTCTTTTTCTTCGATTAGTTAGTGATTAGGACACCAACCCGATTCACCTGGCTAAGGGGGTTGGGTTTCGGCTTGATCGGTTAAACTGACGATTTAACCCGTGATAAATGATTTTAAAATCTAACAACCACACCTCTGATAAATACCATCATCCTAAAGGTTTGAATTCTATCAAACACACCCTTGCGATAGTTAGGTTATTGATTTTTTCAACCAAATTCTGACGTAAAAAATTCATCCTGACACCACCATTTAACCACCAACCTCCCTCTATAAAACCCCTCTAATCTTGACAATGGTAGTCCACTGTTTATCGTCGCGATTGGGTTGATTTTCTAGCCAAATTCCGATTGATTCCGACGTAAAAAATAACTTAAACACCACCTCTTGAACCACCAATCTCCACTCTACAAAAATCTTCTAACCCTGACAATCAAATTAGGGAGTGAGGATAGTTAAAAGCGGTAACCGAGTTGGAGAAGGCCCTGATCTATCAATCATTTAAACCGGTCAATCTGGGCGGGGTTCCTAATCACTGCATTAGTGCCGCCAAAATTGCTATCCAGTGACCCAAAGTTGTAGCAAAACATGTGAATAAATAAAAAAGATTTGTAGCGCTATTGTGAGCTTAGTGTTAATCATGGCAGAAAAACCTGATGGGGTTGGATACCAAACCCGACATATTGGATGGGAATATTTGAAAAAGTAAAAATTAAGTTTTGGGGGAGGGTGGAAGCGTTGTAAAATCTGGTTTCGTCCTCGTCCTCGTTAAAAAATTATAATACATTAAATATGTTAGGGCCAAAAATTGTCCTTGGCCCAAATAGGAGAAAACGGGCTCGATACTGAAGAAGAAGCCAGGCCAATCCTGATATGACCCAACCAGATTAGGCCCATTCGGACAAGATATAGCCAGCCCAAACCACGTGGGCACGAGCCTCCTAATCCCAGTCCATTTCCTAGGTCAATGGGCAAATCTAGAGCCACAAACCCCCTCAGAATACTTTCCTCATCTGATCAATCTCCATTCAAGGTGCCTTCCTATCCTGATCACTTTCCTACTCGGGAGTTACTCTCCTAACAGAATCACCTTCCTATCCGGACACTGGTAAACAGCTTACCACAGCCCTAATTCTTCTAGGGTTTGCATCAGAGTCATACTAGGACTCCCTACTTCTACCAAGATTGGGAGACCAGACGACCATATATAAACAGAGGCCAGCCTCTCCACAAGGGACAGGGGACATTACACCTCACACTGAAAGCTCTGAATTGAGAGCTCCCCATCACCACCATAGTCACAGTCCCTGACTAAACTTCCGGTAAACTTTACTCCCTAGCCCTCTATATTAGTCTCTCAGCCTTGCTGACTTGAGCGTCGGAGTGCTACGGCAAACACCACCCCGGTGCTTCCCGTTCGCTTCAAGCGTGTGTTTCTTACGTGTGCAGGTACAGGGACGCTAGTGGCCTTAACCTCACGGGATCAGACCCCCCTTCCGTACAGATAGATTTTTAACGTTCACATATACATAATTAATATTTATTAAAAAATATAAAAAGAAATCGGAGATTACAAGGGGACGGGTTTTTCATTCCTCGGGAATACGCGCCCCGACCAGCTCTAGAAAATCTGAGGTTGAGACAGGTGATGGAGAGAGCAATATCTTGACAAAGATGGGGAATGTACCAGAAATTGCCAACCTACTTGATCTATAGTGCGAACAAACAGAGCTAATTGTGGGCCAGAAATCGTTTTATATGAGAAAAAATACTTGATCAATCCTTTGTCTAACTCTTTGTTTTCGCCACTAAATCCTATCTTTAAATAATAGGAAATACTCTTTATTTTAACATTAAAAAAAAAAAAAAAAAAAGGTCACTGATTCTTACTTTTGTGAAAAGACAAAATGCCCTGAATTATTACCTAGATAATAGAAGAAAAAAAGATTTTTCTTTGTCTTCCCTTATCACAACAATCATCTTCTTCCTCCTGAGCACTGGCACCAAATTATAATACGAATTTTTCAAATTCCCCACAATCAATCAACGATTTCGATCTCAAAGCCAAATGCCCAAAAAAGGATTTGTTTGTTTTCAAACCTTGATACACATCAAAGAAGAAAAAAAAAAAATCCATGCCAAATGCCATTTTGCACCTTCAAATTTCACCATAACCATCTACACATCCGTTAGAAACACCTGCACTAGTGTTTTTTTTTTTTGGTTATTGAAGTATTTTGAGCAGCAGTTTGTGCATTGATTATTCTTCTGGGACCTGAAGTTAACAGTCAGGTAAACTCTAGTACTATCTTTATTAATAGTTTGAACTCATGACCTCTTAAGTAATACCTTAAGAGTCTCAAAGAACCGTCGAATACTAGAGTAGTACACTAGACTTTATCAGTCCATAAACCCAGCATATTACATAAATATACACCAAACGAAATTCCACACCAATGGCAGATTAACTTATGCCTCATATTAGGCAAAAAAAAAAAAAAAAAATCAAGCTATCACCCACTGCCATAGCCAATTCAGATTCAAAGCAAACAAACCATGGAAATTTCACACAAAATCGTTATTAAAAAATTCAGCTAAACCCTTAGGGATGAAATTGTTATTTTCCCGGGTCTAGTCCAAGTGTTTAAAACTCTGGATCTTATTAGACCTAAACTTTGGAGGAAATATAACTCGAACACATCCCACAAAACTTTCCAAATTTCAAATCAAAGTTTTTAATTTCATCCCTCAAATTTCATATTTTCTTTGACCTTCCACGTTATTTTATTGAACGTAACAATTTGGCTCTTCCAAAGTTAAAAAAATTATTTTCTATAATACATCCTATTCATTCGTTTGACTTTATCTCTGGCCCCCCACGATATTTCAAAAACACAAATATATACTAAGAAAACGAGTAAAGACTTTTTTCCACCAAAATAGTTTAATAACTTTTTCACCTATAGATTTTTAAAATATTATTTATATCTAAATTTATATTTGTTTCTGATTCGGATTGTTACGACGCACACCAACATATTCTCTTCCCTGATATTACTCACAAAAACCTTCAAACCCTACTCCTGTGCCTACACAATGGGCAATTAACATTTGTTTGAGTAACCGCCCCTCCCAAGCAAATCTATCAATGCCAACACTAAAATTCAACATCCACCAGCAAAAGGACATCTTGGACCGAGTTTGCTCTTTATTTGTATGGAATATAAATTTGATAATAAAGAGTATTTTAAAAGTTTATGGGTACAAAAGTGTCATTAAGAACTATTTGAGTGGGAAAAAGTGGTGACATCTAAAAAAACTGATGATGATCGTATATTATATGATTCCCACAAACACCACCAACTTCAAGAAGACAATTAAACTTTCATTATTTTAGAATCAATGCATAAACACACATATTATTCTCATAATATGTTTGAAGCTGCTAATTAGATGCCAGTATAAGAGTTGAGCTCATTGCAATCCAGAGTGTTGTTGACATGCACAACCAGTGGACTCCTAACATAAGGAACCATCTGACCAAACTATCTCTCCAAAATCATATCTCCCTTCTGACTTCTTCACTGCTCTCACCGTACATAAATGACACTTCTTCTCACTCACTGTGAATATCAATGTTCTTGGCCACACCATTACCTCCACTCCATCAGGCTTCACAATGCAGCAAAGTATATCGCATTCCTGTTTCGACCGCGTTTCGCACCGTCCTTTTGACAGTCGTTGTCGACCGAAGATTCGAAACTGTGATCGATGGATGTTTATGTTTGCAGTTTGGCTTTGTTCGGTTGAGCTGCACTTGTGTCCATTCCAGGAGTGGGAAGAACTATTTTCTTGATTTTGTCTTGGCTGTATCCAATGTTGCATAGAAAGGAAATGTAATCGTTTGTTTTTAGTCGTAAACTAGCCCCGGATCCATCGCTCTTAAGGGGTTCAAATGGCCTGCTCCTACGTCAAGGGATTAGACTCTTGCATTGATCCACCATCAAGGATTGGTTCGAGTGTCGAGTCCCTAGTACAAGCTGAATTCACGATAAAAAAAAAATATATTATAATCTTAAGCATATCCTTAAGACATTTGTTAATAAATCTGCTAACTGGTTGTTTAATTACAACCTGTGGTCATAAGAGCGGATCTAATAACTGCAGGTGACCAATTGGGGTGCGCAGATTTGATTAGGGCAACTACTCCAGATACATGGGGGCATGACATTGATGTTCCTGATTGAAAATTCCACTTCACGGAGCGACGTCTTCCGGTAACAGAGTGGAGGAGTTTTGGGAGGCCATGCTGCTAATATACCAATTCCAGGAGCAGTAATGTCTGGCTGTAAATTATACATAAGAAGCTAGAATTAACTACTATTCATTTTCTCTAAGTTTTAGCTAGTGATGAAAATAGATCTCAAATCATTTAAGCACAAAGCAATATTGAGCGCAGTAATGTCTGGCTGTACAATATGGGGGACAAAAGACAAATGAGGTTTTGTAGTGATCATTCAAGAAAGCTTTTTTTCTGAGTTTTTTTTTTTTTTTTGCAATTGACAAAAAACATATGCAATTATTAAAGCACAAGAATTAAACCTATTATGAAAAGAGAAAAGGATCATCATGATTAGCTAGGAACGTAGAGGACTACATGAGTAATTGAATGGTTTAGAAGGAGTCCCTAATGAAAATTCTTATATAAATAACTTTTAATGTTTCGGTGTTTGGACTGCGTTGGGAGGAGAAGCTTATCTAGACACTTACGTCTACGTGGAGAAAGCTCGTCGGAAAATGACAATTTTTTGGATATTTCCGTTTTCTTACAAATGTCAATGAGTAATGATCCCATGGAAATAGTTAATTACCCCATTGTCCAAGTGATTGTGACCTAAAGTTATTATAAAAGCAACTAATAACAAGAAAAAAGTTGAGTTTTATAGCTATGAGATGACAAGTGAGATTATTATGTATGAAAAGTTTGAAACAAAGTGTTTTCAATGGTTTTTTTTTTTTGCATATTGTTTCCTACAGTAAAACCAAAGTACCTTTAGTATATCAGGTGAAATGGAACTTGGTCCTCTAGAAGAGAAATATGCAACTGTTGGTGCTGCCACTTTTCCTATACTTGTTTGACTTGGTTTTATCTGCACTGGAGGAAGGCTTCATTGCCACATTATATATTCATGTCAGAAATTAACTAACCTCATAACCAATATAAATATCAAATATCCAGCTATTTAACTAAAAGAAAGTCTTCTATGAAATGGATCCACATACAACAAAGATAACTTAGCATTCACACGCTCTTTCATTTACTGATTGTATGTGCATCCATTGTAAGAAGTTTTTTTCCTTTTAACTTACTTTTCGAACTGAGCAAAGTAATCCTTGAGTTTAGTGGCTTGAACCATATCTAAACGAACAGTAGGGATGATATCCACATCAGCCATTTGGCTTGCCCCAGGCTCAGCAAAGATCAACCCAGATGCATTGGCCTTCATTACTGCTTGTTCTGCCTCTCCAATATCCACTGGTCCTACTGTGGAGAAGCATAACACTACCCTTGGCCTTTTGGCTACTATTTTATTCCAATTCTCCCTGCTGCAAACCCTGCACATGGAATGAAAATGTATAATATTGAACAAAACTTTTGCTTTCTCTAATGCAATTAAGAGTGAGGAAGAATGAGAGACCCATCATCAAAGTAATTGGTTGCATCAGCCAATTTTGCATTAATCTCTGTGCTGATTAATCCTTCTCCCTGTAGAAAGAGGATTAGAGAATTAGCTTCAAGGAATTTCGCATACATATATGTTAAGAAATAAAAGTTCATTTGAACAAAATGATTATAATGGTGGCCCTTAAAATTCACAGCTCACAATTAAGATCAAACCAACTCTAAGAGTTAGTCACTTCACAATCTTTACAAAGCAAAAAAAGTCGCTAATTATCTAGATCTTCATTTCACTTTATGGCTAATTAGGAAAATAACAACAATCTTGAAAGGATTCAAAGAAAAACATAAGTAACACAAACATAAATTATATGACACGTTTGTATTTTTTTCTCTCTCGTTTATCGTTATAAATTAATAAAGAAAGCGAAGAGTTGTTAAAATTACCATGATAGAGAAGTCACCATTGACTATTATTTCAGTAGGAAAAGCTCTATCAATGGAGGAAGCAGCCACAGAAATACTCCATGGAGCAACATTTCCAACTAAAGAAGGCTGCGGCCCATCGTTGCCAGCTGAAAACACCACAGTGACACCAAGTTGCATTGCATGGAAAGATCCAATACCAGCATTTGATGCAAAGAATGGACGCAAAGGTGGTGATTCACCGAACGAGGCTGAGATAACATGAACTCCGTCGCACAAAGCATCATCAAAAGCTGCAAGAATATCAGCCTCATTGCACTTCCCATCAAGATCCTTGCTCCAACAAACTTTATACACAGCTAATCTAGCCCTAGGTGCTCCTCCTCTTGCTGTGCCTTGCCCTATACCAATATAATTTGCATTTCTGACCCTGGATCCAACTGCTGTTGAAGCTGTGTGTGTGCCATGGCCTATGAAGTCGCGCGCAGAACGATACTCTTTGTTGCTACTCATGTTCAATGGGCCATATGCTTCTTCAAAACCCTTAACGTAGTATCTTGCTCCAATCAATTTCCGGTTGCAGGCCTTTGCCGGATCAAAGTTTTCTCCCTTGACACATTTTCCTTTCCAGCATGGAGGAATAGGCCCCATGAATGGCTCTTCCTTGAAGCTTTCAGATTCTGGCCACACCCCTTTCTCACCATAAACAAAGTATGTTAAATTAAACTACAATGACAATGGAGCGCAATAAGAAAAGATATTGATTATGAGACCTGAATCTAACACCGCAATGATTGTGTCACTGCCATAGGCAAGCTGCAATGGAGTCCCTTCATTTTTGTTAATGTTTTCTAAAGGGAGCCCTAAAAAATCCCAGCTTCTTGTTGTGTGCAACTCCAGTGACCGACTCTCGAGTACCGAAATCACTCCTTCGATCTCTGCAGGCAACAATGGGAACCTTTAAATGAATGTATACATATGATAACTACTGGATTGAGAAAGAAATTTAAGGGTTTGGTTCATTACTGGCTAAGGAGGCAGCTTGAGTTGAACTGAGCCTTGCTGAAAATCCAGAGAAGGCATGCTTGTAGCTATAAAGCATGGAGCGTTTAGCATCTTGTTCACTAAAATAATGATTAGAAGAATAAATAAGTGTTGCATTCTCGTATATATGTGAAGGAAAATTAAGTAAAAAATAAACTAAACCTTGAAAAGACACTAGAGAGGAGTTGAATATGAGAGTTTGAAGTGAGATAGGGATCATTATATTGGGTGAGCCCTAAATAGACAATGTAAACCTGCACAAAAACACATGCAATATATACATAAAAAAGAAGATCAAAATTGAAATGACAAAGGATATCTCATTATTATTGGCACATTTGGGAAGTAAAGTTAGACATACATGGGATGCAAATGTAGAGTGAACAAAATGAAGAGGAAGTGATGAGAGGAATAGGCCCCAAAAATAATAAACATGAGAAGGCATATTGTATAAAATTATTAATTTGTGTGTCTCCCTTGGAAGAACCAAACGGATGTGGGGGGAGTTTAAATACTGTAGGTTAAGGCAATTCTTATGATTTAGCTGGATGGTTATAATGCTTGTATATGAAGGCTAGCTCTAAGGCTGCAACAACAGTTAGATATCTTCTCATTTTCATGATGATAATTTCTCTTCCAAGCTAGTTGACAGGGTGAAAAATTAGGAATACCTCCTATACACACTCCTTATCTTTAGGGTATTGTTTCTCTCTTGTATAGTGTTTGTATTCATATGTACATTTAGGTAGAATTATAGCCTAAGACTACCTTCATAAAGCTTAATCATATACCATGAATTCAATCAAGAGAAATCCATGTGACCTTCATCATCATTCTTTTGAATTCTTTAATCTTCACTCACTTCATTGTCTTCTAAACTCGTATATTTGATGTTTCTAAAAATACTTGAGAAAGAAAGTAAGGAAGATCAATCAGAACGTCTTCATATAACTTCTCTACTTCATTTGAAAAATTCAGTAGTTGTTATAAGAACTTCTGAAAAGTAATTAAGTTTAAGCTCGTTTCTAAGTAATTAATGTGTATTAAACTATTACATCATAATGATATAAATATACACTATATTACTTTTTCTTTTCCCAATTGAAACAACGCATGCAAGCTTTGGTCCCTATTTTTAACTAATGAGCTGGTAATTGTATATTAACAATGTAATTAACTTAGTCTCATGTGATCATGTGGAGTCTAGCTAGGAATTTATAGGCCGGCTATACTGTTAATTACTCCAAGCTGCAAAAGTTATATCTCAATTTTTTCACATTGGAATCATTATGTGTGTGGCATTAATTATAATTAAGCTGATCACGCTATTATATAAACTAATTCTCAACTATATATATGTGTGTATAACACCATGTTATTCACAAAAAACAACTTTAGAGATCAATGAATCAAAAACCCACCTTAGCCATAAGCTTTACAAGGCTCAAAGTAGCAGCTAGTAGAAGTATCTACTTCAAAAAGGCAAATACTGATTCTACAAATGAAAAAAATACAAATTGAAGGATGGATATGTTTACCCTAGCAATCAAATCATCATTACTAGCTTAATTTTCTCTAAAACATTGCTTGAATTGATCGATTACTTCGCGTAACCACAAGTTCATAATCAAAGGACTTAGATTATACGAAACACGTTTTACCTTCCAATTTATATATATACTTCACATCATTGAACCTACTTATTCCATATGAAAAATAAGAATAATTTATTTTGTTGATAGGCAAATGATCTCTTTCATACCAATCCATAATTGCATCTTAATGCATTTGTCATAATTTGAATGAAGTAAAGCATCTTGTTTGCTTTGATAAGCAGGAATTTTAAGTACATAAAATTTATCTTTCATGAGGTATTGTAATAGTTATATATGTATGTGGTTAAATTGACCTTATTACCTTATACAAAAAAGAAAAAAAAGAAAAAAGAAACTCATCAATTAAACAAGTAAGGTTTTATGATTTTTGTATAGTTTCAAATACATATGAATGTTACTTATTCATGAATTTTGCATTTAAAGGTATAAAAGAATTAGTTAATTTATGGTATGGTACTATGAACTTATATGAGCCAGAGATGATAAAATATGTATAATGCATGCATATCCAGCTAAAGCTAGCTAGGGTTAAGTGTAATAATCTGTGTTACTAATTTGATCGAAGTAAAAAAAGACACTAAGCGTGTGCATGCATGTACATATACAAGGGTAGATTTGTGAAGATTCTATAGAAGCAGCGTATCAAATATATTTTGATCTTTAATTAGTCGACTGCTTTGTTGATTAATATATATATATATAGAAGCAACCGAATGTGCCCTTTGAAGCCACTGGCTAGTTTGGTGTAAAACTCTAAGCATATGTTGATTGTTGAGGTCTTAATTATCACAAATATATTGGCATTCAAATTAATGTTATCTCTCTCAGTTGCATGGCTTTTAATAAATTTTGGTGATGGATCGATAAACTCTCATGAAGAATACCAAAAATCTGAGGCCCCATCTATTTCCTATTGATGATTATGGGAGTAGGACCAGGATCGTATTGGAGCATTTGATTAGGTAATGTAAGGTACCCATTAATTGGTTAATTAATTATTGATTTGTAATTTTATTAATTAATTATTGTATCAGTAGTAAAACTAGCGAGCTTCTACAATACTCTCCTATAGTAGTATTTAATTTGCCTAAAAAGTGCTTTATAATTGCAATCTGTAATATTTTTAAGTACAATTATAATATGTATTATAGGGAGTGTCGAAATTAATCATCTAAGATTTGTTAGACATAAATTAAGTTATGATATAATATATGATTAGACATATATACTTGTATATGTGTATGCTCATGAAAGTCATAATTAATTCATCTTATAATTTGCCAATTAATGTAATTGCAATCAATCTTTGTATTAATTATGTGTAATATTTAGTGTATTATTAATATTGTTTGCATGCATGTTAATCATCTAGTGTAAGATTAGTATTAGCTACGGATCCATATATATATATATATATATATATATATATCAATTACTACTTATAATTAATTAATTATATATATGATTATGGTAAAATGTATTGGTTTATCATTAAGGGAAAATTAACAGTTGTTATGAATATACTAGATTATGATTAGCGTTGATTAATTCTTCTACATTACTCTTCAATTATATTATAGAAGTTGTCATTATACACAATGTGAAAAGTGTTTAATCGATATATATAATCAAGGGTAATCTATGTATGTTTATAAGCTTTATTGTACTATTGGTAGTGTTGATAAATGATTAAATTAAGATTAATTAGAACTTTAGTTATGGAGATATTTTATACATTATGATTATGGTTAATAATATACCCTCCATCTACAATGCACAATAATAAAATGTCATTATACAAGAGCCATTATTATGTACACATCACAAATAATTTGACTTTACATTTGTGCGTGGGAGAGAGAAAGGATCGAAAGTGGTAGTCAGCTTGCTATCCATACATCCAACTTTCCATCCAATATTATATAAATTCATTGTATTCTTTACATTTTCACTTTTTTCTTTTTATTTATGTACAGTGAGTTTTTAGGAATGGAAATCCTAAATTTTAATACACGAATCAAATTGTTGTCATGTGAATATGGAATGAGAATAATATTCCTATTGCATTTTAGATATTATTCTATTTTTTTGATACAATTAAATTGAATTACTCTTATATATCTTTCGAGCAGACTCTGACCCTTTTAATTGTTTCTCTTGCCCTCTTAATAATATCTCTCAGGCATACTCTAACACTCTTTAATTTTTTTTCCTACCTTCTTAATTCTGACATGATATCATAGTTTCTCTCTCAATCCTAACTAAATTATAGCAATTAATCATTAGTTTAACTAAATTTGTATTCGAATGAGTGCCATAATAGGGTTTAAACGACAAATGTTATATGACAAGTTTAGGACACCGCTGGTAGTAACATGGTAGGTGGATTACGACGTTTTATGGTTTTTTCTCTATATATATATATATATAAAAACCCAATTTTCTTGTAGTATCTTATAACGTTTATGATGTTTGAATATGAAAATTTTTAGAGTTTTATATATAAGTTAGTTTGTAAGAAAAGTTTATATGTGTATTATTATTTTCTATTTTGCACTCTGAGTTTTAGTTTTCTAAGTCGAGAAATGAAACAAAGAAGAAGAGTATACATGAGAAATAATGGACCCACTTTTCACTAATTAACATCCCTTTCATTTTGCTTAAAGTTCTTCCAAGGAAAATGATGAGAAGCTCATTAAACTTTCTTTTTCACAAATTAATCTAAATCAAGCTTAATTTAATTTGGTCATAAGGTGGGACATTCATCAGAACTTTCCCAGCAATTCCAAATGTCTTGTAAAGTCTATAACTTTGATCCCAGCCCTCTAATTAATTAAGATTAATATATCTTAAGATTAATTAATGTTTTTACTATATATTAAGTCTAGTCACACCATGCTTTACTATGTATTAAATTACCTGCCGACTTTTAAAGAGCATGAATTTAATTAATAAATAGGTTGATTATTCTTATCTTTTCAGGATTGAGTGTAGACTAATCAATCTATATATCATCGCTCTCTCTTTGACCATACTCGCACTTTTTGCATCATCTTTTGACATGTTTTGATTCATTTTCAAGCTAGGGTTTTGTTCAAACACGCCTAGTAATTAATTAACCCCATGACCTTTACTAGGGGGGTAAAAAATTTTCACTTATATATTATATATAAAAACTTTTAGAGAGTGAAAGAGATGTGCTCTAATATTGCATGCTGGAGGAATATCTATATATATATATATATATAACCAATGTTTAAGTAGCTTAGCTAGGTTTATATTTAATGGGTAAAACTTAAATATCCTTTTACATGATCAACTGTAGAGATGATTGGCAATCTGCAAATATGTTAGCTTTATATATAAATATATAATGGATTCAACTTCCCATTTGAGTCAACAACATTAGCTAAAACTTTAATTTCTTCCCCACGATATAAATGTTCTTCTTAAAATAATAATGTGCATGCACGTGTATTGTTTTTTCTTTTCTTTAATTTCTGTTCTAATTCACACTTCTGCCCTTTAATTGTTTAGTGCATCAGGCTAGCAAATGAAGTCAAACTCTTTGTGCTCCCACCTCTATCCTTTAATTTCCAACTTAGCTATATATACTAAATATTATGTATGTGTCAACTCTTTATATATTCTCAAATGAGTGCATCCACACTTCAATTGTCTCTTAATGAGTTGATAATAGTTCGTAAAATATTTCCTCTCATGGTCAATTCACTCCTATCAATTTAATACCTTTGAAAATTTAGATTTGAATTAAAAGAAAAGAAAAAAAGCCAACATCGACACAAGAAAACAATTATACTTGTGTATATATATTCAAATGGGTATCTACATTTCAACGTTATCTGTGTAATAGGATAATAGTTAGTAATATTTTGTCTTTTTGGTCCATTCACTCCTATCGAGGGATGCCTCTTGAAACTGAGGTATGAATTGAAAAAAAAATGTCAGCATATACACAAAAAAAAAAAAGAATCGTGTTAAGTATAACTTTGACAAAATTAATATCATAACGATTTGACTAGAATGGTGTTATCAAAGCTTTAACTACATTTTTAAAAGAGTTGATACAACCCGTAAAATTTATCTATTTTAGTCAATTTATTTCAACCAACTCAACCTTTGAAAATTGAGATATAAAGTAAAAGGAAAGAAGAAATATTAACACTCTCACAAGAAAAAGATTATATATATATTCAAACAGGTATCTATACTTCAAGGTTATTTCCAACACAGTCAATAATAACGGTGTTGAGATAATTTTTAATATATATATATATTCAAGCAGGTATCCATACTTCAATGTTGTTTCCAACACCGTCGATAATAACGGTGTTGAGATAATTTTTAATAATTTTACTTCTATCACTAGAATACCTTTGAAAATTGAGATACAAATTGAAAGAAGTTAGAAAGAAAAAAATGACTTCATGGGCAGGGGAAAAGACCATATCTATGTGCACATATATTCAAAGGGATAATCATGGAGATAAGCTAACAAAGACATCAAGTTATAGAAGACAAGGAGTCTACATATATCTTCTTGAATTTTGACTAATGAAGAAGTAACTAATACGTTCCCTTAGCCATTGAAATTGCATAAGCTCTATCATCATCATTATCGATCCCTGTAGGTCGCACCACCACCTACATTCACCACTTCCCCAACTTGACGTGCTATTTGCCCATCATGCTTTGTATCCCACAAACACAAATTTTTATTTCTTATCAATACTTTTGCGTCATTTTTTTTTTGTACTCTTTACAAAACATGTTGCCAATAACAATTACACAAGCAAATCTAAAAGAGAATGTTTAGGATTCAATTAATCCAGGCAATTTTGCATTGGACTAGTTAAAAAGCAATTTTTCACTCTTTTAGTATATAGAAAAATACCTTTTACAATAGGTTTCTATTCAACCAGTCAATTAGAGTATGCGTGTATACCATGTGTGTTCATGTATATCTATTGCACAAAAAACTTTCTCCTCTCGTACAAATCTAAAACATAATGTTTAAGATTAAACTCATTAAAATGCTTAAAAACACTTTCTGTAAAACATTTTTACATTCAAAAAGCCAATAATGATGTGTATGTATGTCACGTGCGTTGACGTAACATGTTTTCATTGACTAATTTTACATGTATCTTATGCATAGAAGATTTTCTCCTTTTATAAAAATCTAAAATAGAATGTTTAAGATTCAATTCATCAATGCAATTTTGCATTAGAATGGTTAATTAAAAGCACTTTAATGTACATTTAAAGAACCAATGAGGATGTGCATATATGCCACACACATTGAAGTGACACGTTTTTATTAACTAATTTTACAATCCATATGGTGCAAAGAAAACCTTTTTCCTCTCATATATTAGGGGATTGTAACACTCTCAATAAAGTAGCACTGGCACACATAATAATTCCGTTGTAGACACTAATACAATTTGATTTACTCTTTATAAACAAATTTAGGAATTACAACCCTAGATAAGATCGATTTTGGATAATGGGGTCGTTTTTTATTCGGAAAGGAAGGCTGCTGCATTATACTATGTAAAGTTAGATTCAAAATGTGCCTAACTAGAATGAAATTAGGGAGAGTACATGTTAAATACAATGTAAATTGATGAAGAATAGCACTAAACCTATAAGAAATGAAAAGTTAGGTAAGGTGGTTGCAAGCTTCCTGCAAATGGGTTGAGTAGTAGTGAATATAATATAAGAGTAATGGAATGTATTGGTGTGTGAACAAAGAAAAGAGAAAGAATAGGCTGCAGGCTAAAGGAAAGCTGGTGAAAGAAAAAGATTGGAGAGCATTAACATGCGCACTAAAAAACATATGAAAGCAAAAGCTACAACAGTTTCTTTTTTTTGGGAATCAAAAATCAAAAACAATTTAAACAAAATCTCTGCCTCTTTGTGGACCCATTATCACCGTAGCCAAGCATTAGCCCCCACCTCAACACTCATCCCATTATTTTTTCAACCATTCTCTCTCTCACTTTTCCTCTCTCTTTCTCATTACCATTTCCATCACAAAACAATTCTTTCTTTCTTTCTAACATAAACCAGTTTCTGGAAACAGAGTGTTTTTTTGCTTTGTAAAAGTGTTTTCTTTGTTGCTAAATTGAGGAAATTTTGGTTTTGGTGATGAGTTTTTGTTGAGTAAATTGATTTTTTTTTTGGTGGGTTACCGGGTTTTGTATGGTTTTTGGTTTAAAGATAATGGGAAATTGTTGTTGTAGATGGGAGCCTTCTGTGTACATAGTTTCATCCAATGCAAAATCAGGTTTGTTTTCATTTTCTCTCTAATTTTATTAATTATATTTAATTAAAATTTTATTATCTTGTAAATTTTGAAATATGGTTCGTCTTATTATGCCTTTTACTTGCTGAATTCAGTTTAATTTGTTGGTAAAATTTAAATCAAGTAAAGTAAGCATTCACTCTGTTTTTGAGTTTCTATATACTTAATATTTGTCTAATTTTTTTTCTTTTTCCTTTTGATTTCTAGTATCCTAACTTAGCATACTCTTTGAATTTTTAGTTTGATTATCCTTTTAATATATATATATATTAATGTTTGGAATTTAATTTTTGATCCCATGTTACTTTATCTCTTACTTTTGTTATCTTTTGCTGTGTCACATGAATCTTCTTAAGCCTTTTCACATTGCAGTCAAAATAGAGAAGTAAAAGTATATTCCCGTGTTATGTTTAGTTTTTGCTATTTCTGAATGCTTCATTTGATTCCTAAAGCTAAAAATATTCTACCTAAGACAAAGAAGGTGTCGATTTTAGCATACAAGAAGAATATTAATGAATTTGCTATGCTATGTTGTGTTTTTTCATTGAAAATCTTCAAAAGACGAGAGCCCAAAACCAAGGAAGGATGACAGTAAGTTGCCATCAAACCCCAAAGAAGTAGAAGACTTGCGCCGCGATTCTGCTGCAAATCCATTGATTGCTTTCACATACGATGAGCTGAGAATAATCACCGGAAACTTCAGGCAAGATCGCGTTCTGGGTGGAGGAGGCTTCGGAAGCGTTTATAAAGGGTTCATTTCTGAGGACTTGAGGGAAGGGCTGCCGTCCATTCCGGTTGCTGTTAAGGTTCATGATGGTGATAACAGTTATCAAGGCCATAGAGAATGGCTGGTAATTAATCTTCAAGTCTTGTGTTACCATTAAATGAAATTTATTTTCCTTTGATTTCATGAAGTGTGTTGTGTGTTTCTAGGCAGAAGTCATATTTTTGGGGCAACTTTCTCATCCAAATTTGGTTAAATTGATTGGTTACTGTTGCGAAGATGAACAGCGAGTACTAATATACGAGTACATGGCTCGCGGTAGTGTTGAGAACAACCTATTTTCCAGTAAGTATATACTTTCATTTCTCGATTTTGATATTGAGATGAAAGCTTAAACGACACAACTTTTTCCGCGCCAAGACTTTTAAAGCTACTGCTAGAAATCTAGGAGCCTATAATTGTTTTGTCAATGTGATGTATATGCATCATTTCATTTTTGCAGAAGTATTGCTTCCTCTTTCATGGTCTATCAGAATGAAGATTGCCTTCGGCGCTGCAAAAGGACTAGCCTTTCTTCATGGAGCAGCAAAACCTGTCATTTATCGCGACTTCAAGACATCTAACATTCTGTTAGACACAGTTAGTACATTCTAATCCTTCAACAGTTTGTCAGCAATAAAATCGAATGCTTAAGCATTGTTTCTTTATACCGAAAGTTGATCTTGTTTATTAGACAATTGAAATCAAGTTGTAATTCAATGTATACGGAATGCAGGACTACAATGCCAAGCTTTCTGATTTTGGCCTTGCAAAAGATGGACCAGAGGGAGACAAATCTCATGTTTCGACTCGCATAATGGGAACATATGGATATGCCGCACCCGAGTATATAATGACAGGTTACATTCTGGACATGTCACATCTCAAGTCACTAGCGAATGAGTATTTCGACTTTTGAAATGACATACGTAATCTTTATGTGCAGGTCATTTGACACCGAGAAGTGATGTATATAGTTTTGGAGTTGTTCTTCTCGAGCTTTTGACGGGAAGAAAATCTCTAGACAAGTCGAGGCCAGCGAGAGAGCAAAACCTAGCGGATTGGGCTCTACCATTGCTGAAAGAAAAGAAAAAATTGCTCAACATTGTAGATCCAAGATTAGAAGGAGATTATCCAATCAAAGGAGTTCACAAGGCAGCAATGCTAGCATATCATTGCTTGAACCACAATCCAAAAGCAAGGCCTCTAATGAGGGATATTGTAGATTCCTTGGAGCCTCTGCAAATTCCTGATGAAGTTCCCGCTCAAAAAATCGACAATTCTAACTGTGATTAGTGAGGAACCAGTTTAAAAGAAAAGAAGATCATTAGTTCACAATGTAATTAATAATTAACATATGGGGGGGTCATATCTTTTGTTTTTCGGTTTATATATACTATATATATGTGCTTCTTCTCTAGAGATTAGATGGAGAATTTTTGTATCAAATTGATTATTATGCTTAAACTATAATAAATACATAATATCAATGTATTTTTATGTGTTTTGTATATTATATTGTTAGCATTTTTAGCTCGGAATAATATTAGCATATCTTAAGAACAAACGACGCACTCTTTGAAATAATTTATCTTCAAGGATATAGAATCGACATCAAAAAAGACAAATAAGCATTAAAAATATAACTTTTTGATGCCGTCATGACGTCGTTTCTGAGCTAGGGAAAACCAGTTAGGAAAACAGTTCTCCGACCCCAATCAACAATTTGAGAATGATTTTCATTGCCAACACTTTCTTATATATATATATATATATAATTTTATTTATTTATTTATTTATTTTTAAATGCTTGATGATGACATGGTCCAGATAGACCATTTTTTTGGTAATGAAATACTCAAAGTTTTATATCTAAAGCAAGTTTTAAAGAAATCGTTACGAGTTTTTTGGTTGGTTTTGGCTATGGATTAGTTAGCACTTAGCACCCCAAAATTGACTTGACTGAGGTGCAGAAATTTTCATAGAACATTCAAAGATGGAAGACAAAGTCTTTATTTAAGGACTGCATCAAGTAAAGATTAGAATTTAACTGGTTTGGTCAAATAAGTAACTAGCTTTTCTATATCTAAATCACTTTTTGACTTACAATTTCAGCTATTTTGCCCCTTTCAATTAGTAAATTTCTGGCTGCTTATTCTTATCCAAGATTCATAAAATATAGTAGTACTGGTATAAGCAAAGATTACTCATCTTAATTTGAACAAGTTAATGGCCACACCACTAATTAATTAAATTACTATCATATATAATTATATATGTATAAATAAAAAAATAAAATAAAAAGTTGTTGGTAGAATCCATTAATTCAGCTTGGTCGTAGCTTATGTCAATCCTACATGGAAACCATTGGAGGAATTAAGGTTGGGATTCCTTGTAATTAAACACTTGTACACATAGAAAAAGTCATATTTTATAAATATATATTAAATATGACAACCAAAACCTGCTAATAAAGTGCTTTTCTCAAAGCACTTTCAAGTTTCAACTGCTCTTTTGCTTGTCTCTAGAATTGATCTACATAATTAATTATCTAATAAACTCCAAAAGAGGGAAAACAAATTAAAAAAAAAAAAAAAAAGGCCGGGCCAAAATGCACTAAGGTGGGCTACATAATTTAGGTTTTCATTTTTATTTATTCTCCAGATAGAAACAAAATTCAAATACGAACTTAAACCTTAATAAATTAATACTTGATAATTAATAACCTCAATTAAATAATACTTTTAGCTAGTCCTAACTTGGGAATAATATGGTAAATTAATAATTCGCTAAATTTATAAGAAAATACATTTAAAAAAAAATATATGTACCCCTTGATATATAAATTAATAATATCCTTATACATTAAAATTATATATATATATATGACTCAATTAGGAGGCATTTGAGCTATTCACTATACTACATTAACTCCTTAGCTATAAGTTAGGCTGATGATGTTATTTCCAACCGCTATTTCTTATGCCATATTAACTATACACAATATGTATATACATTAAGTTCAATATTTTAGAAAAAGAAAATAAATAATACCTCGATAAATAAATAATTTATTAATTTATATGATTAAATAATATATCAATTAATTAATAAATTTTCATGATTTTAAAAAATATTAATTTATCGAGGCTTAATCATATATAGTTGATTAGTTATAAGTAGATAATATTGTTATGTTTAATAAAAACGAATTTTAAAAAATAAAATAAACAAACCCTTAATTCTCACCAGGATCAAACCCCAAAAATATACATATCTTTTCGTTGTGAGGATGCATACGCATACATGTATGTACTGAAATCCCCCTAAGCTATAATTAAATAACTGAAATCCCTTAGGGGGCATTTGGTTCAGAGAATGTTGGATTACTGGAATCTTATATTACCTTGAAGATTACTAGGAATCTTTAGGAAAATGTATTTGGTTAGTTGATGGAGATGTTATACTAATATGTTTGGTTAGGGGGAATAAATTGGTGGGTATGTTATTTAATTACTAAATTGCCCTCTTTTTAAATATTAATATAATATTATTTTTGAATAATTTCCCAATATTTCAGATTTAGCTAAAATACCACCGCTTATATAAAACTTTAATTTATGACAAAATCACCCCCACCCCTGCCGCACCGTAAACCACCACCAGAAGTCTCTGAAAGTCGCCGTGAGTAGCTCACCGTGATCACGAGGCACTGATATGGCCGTTTTTGCCCATATTGATGGTCGAAAATGACCATATCAGGCCAGATACAGCTAGACCCATCAATCTGGCCAGAATAGATATGACTATTTCCGGCCAGATATGCTCTCGATATGGCCTTTTCGGCTATCAATATGGCCAGAAACGACCATATCGAGGCCTCCTGGTCACAGTGGGTTGCTCACGGTGGCTTTAGGTGACTTCCGGCAACTTCCGGCGGTTGTTTGGCTAGCGACAGGAGGCAGCAGGTGGGTGGGGTTGGTGGCTTGTGTAAGCTAAAATTTGTTTTGATTTCAAGGGTAATTTTGTCCAAAAAGTTAATTAAATGCGGTGAAATGGTAAAAGCAAGATTCATGTAAATAAATTTAAAAATAAGGGCATTATTGTCCTAAAATTTTATTAATAAGGGATAGAATTGTAAAAAAAAAAAAAAAAATTACCTAAGTAATCTTACAATACCTAAGAAAACGGAGGTAATCAGATTACCTCCAATATTACCTCCAATATTACCAACAGTAGCCACTATTGGTATTTGAAGATTATTGGAATCTTATATTACTTGACAAACCAAACATGGTAATCAAGTAATATAAGATGACTTAACCCTAGTAATCCTACATAATCCCCAACCAAACGCCCCCTTAGAGCAATAACAAAAATCCTCCTATCATTAAGTTTTTGGTGTTAGATAAACGGTAGAGGAGCAATATGATAAATAGTTATTAATCCACCATGTTATGATGAATTCTAAACGGTCAACAAACGACAAGAGAATTTTTATTATTTCGTAAATCTTAGAGGAAATATTCTAATTTGATTAAATCTCAGGGGGGTTGAGAAAACCCATAAAGTAAACATTTTAAAGAGTTACATTAATTTTTAAGGTACGATAAAATAACAAAAATCCTTTGAGGATTTAGAAATAATAAAAATACATTTGTCACTAAGTTTTAAGTGTTAAAATAAATGGTATAAGAGTAATTTGATAATATTTACTAACTCACAATAGTTTAAATTTTAATGGGTCACTAACAGTTTATTAACAATAGATAAATTTTTGTTATTTCAAAAATCAATTGAGGACTCTTGTTATTCTAACATTCCTCAGGGGGTCTGTATTTTGACTCTGTTCTTAATTAAAAGTTGTCATACTAATGAAGCAGTTGATATAATCCAATCAATAATACATACTACTATTCCCAACTCGTATCCCAATATTACAATCCAAGGAAGCCTAGGCACTTCAACATCATCAATCAACTTAAATATTTAAAAACTTATAATTAAATCCTTATAAAGTTTAATTTTATACATTCTTCCATGATCCACTGTCACATAGAGAAGTGTATCCATTGGGATTACGACAAAATAGAAATCGAAATTCAAGCGGCTCGGGTAAGATTAAAGGATTAATCTTTTGAATATGCACTTGCTTTTAAATGTGGCTTAAATTTGATTGATTTTTTTTCTTATTGCACGGAGTCGTCCGTCCCTTCCTCACCGCTACTAGGGGTGAAGCAGGAGAGGAGTATGTTACATTGTTCAAAGCATTGGAGGATGAAGCAGATGAAGGGATAGACCACCTAATGCAGGACTTATAAGGGGTTATGCATATGAGTGTAGTTGTAGGGCCACTACTTGAGAATGTTGTTGACGTCGAGAATGATGAAGCTCCAATCAGCTGGAGGGAGGAGAAGGAGGAAGATGAAGAGGTTTGTACGCCTCCACCAAATTGGCAAACCGGTACAACAAGTACCGCTTTATCGAGGCGTCGAGGTTGGGAGAATGAGGTGGTTGACCTCATAAACGGTATGTTTGAGAGTTTTACAACAGCCGTTTCTAAGAGGTTTGAAAAGATGGAAGAGCGGATGAAAATGGAAGTTGATAGGGTGGTGGAAAAAGTTGGCAGGGTGGAAGAGGAAGTTGGTGGGGGTATTGAAAGTGGTTGAAGTGCAACATGAGCATAAAAGAAAGAGTCGAAAGAGTAAGCATGCAATTTCTCCTTACATGGCAGTAATGTATGGAAAGAAGTGGAAAACGAAGAAAAAAATGAGGAAGTCTGTGAAAAGGGAGAAGCAAAAATGGAGGAGGACGGTAAAAAGGAAGGCGGAGGAAGTGGGGAAGTGAAAATGGAGGAGGAAGGCGGAGGAAGGCGGCAAGTGAAAACAGAGGAAATGTCGATTTGTATAAGCCAATAGATTGGGAAAAGAAAAAACTCTTCTATGCCTATTACAATGATTATAGAAGTGATGAGCATGTGAAGTGCAAGTCCGGGGATTATCCGTGGGAGTGGTTTGAAAAGATGTTGACGATGGGCAGGTGGCTCAACGACTCGGTGAGTTATTTTCCCTTATTTGTGTTTATGTTTTCCATGAGTTATTGTATACTTATCATGTTGTTTTTATTTGATGCAGCACATTGATGAGGTATTGGCACTTATGAGGCTACGATAGAGCAGTAATGGTGACATTTTATATCTGCACTGTGTCATCACTGATGTGGCCTTTGGCCAAATGCTAGTAACTTCATATGACATTTTAATGAAAAAAGCCATTGGTAGAGGTGCAACAACGGGAGGCAAGCGGAAAAGATTGGCCACAGATGACTTCGATGGTATCCCTGATGATTTTCAGTTTGATGACAGAGTGATGCAATCTGTACGAGGGGAAAGGCCTAAACATGGCAATAGTTAGGCAAATGTTAAAAAAGTATACTACATCATGATCCTCAAGGATATGCATTGGATA